AAGAAACGCCCTACATTTCTATTTTACATTTTAACACCAGTTGAAACACAGTCAATTAAAGTCTTTGCTGTTGTATTCACTGCAACTTCATAACAGGGAAAACAATATACGTCATGAGCTCAGCCATACAGTACACTAACCACTCTCATATTTAGTTCCTTTACTGAAAATGTTAGGGGTTATTTTAGTTCAAGAGCACTCTCTTCTGATGTATTTTATATATAAAACAGATCATACTATCTGCAGCCTCTCTGTTGTTCTAATTTTAATTTCAATTTCACTGCTGGCTATGATTCTGGATGCTAAAAAAGTCACGCCAAGGGGGAAGTGGATGAATCTGCAGGCTTTAAAGAGGCCTCTGAGTGCTGTGATGGGCTGTAATGGGGAAACATTCACCCTTCCTCAGGATAGATGTGACTCGCAATAACAACGTCCGTGTCATGCGATCATATAAACTCTTCATACAGCCTTTTCTCCCAGGAATAATGATACAAGTTTCTGTATGCTGACAGAGAGAGAGAGAGAGAGAGAGAGAGAAAAGGGGAAAGAAAGACTATACAGCTAATTGGTGAGAATGAAGCCTCAAAACATGTCAAAGCTGAGAGACAGTGATGACGTCTCTAAGAGACACATACACACACCGACATTTATCAGTTAAAAACATTCTTAAATAAACTCTTTTACTGTTAAATAACGTTCTGCGTGTGTCAGTTGTCATAAAGTAAACCCCCTTTAACATACATTTACTACATATTGTAATCCTCATTTTGCTGCTGATGCCTCCGGGCCTTTTTAAAGTGGCAGCAGCACTCCCTCTGTACGGCCGATATCAAATCACGCTGTTCCCTTCATGATTTCACATCTCAGGAGGGGTCCTCTTGAAAAGCTTGATTCGGGAGATGCCGTCATGCAGTGGGCTTCTGCCAGAGGAACCAGCCGTTCACGGATGGTCACCAAAAGAGGAGGGGCACATTTTATTTCTGGCACGTTTCCGTAACAAGGGAACAACAAAAGGCTGTATCATTTTTAAAGCCTGGTGATACGGTGGTGGTGAGCAGTGGTGGAAGAAGAAGTCAGATGTTTAACTTAAGTAAGAGGAGAAAACACTATTGTCTCGAACTAACGTTAAACGGAAACATTTCCAGTTTTCAACCCAGCTTTGTATCGTTACAATGAGCTCCCTGCTCATTTGCCAACAAAAGTTGGCATTTCTGGGCTGTTGTTCGAGTACTTTTGCATGCCTGCTTCCACAAAAAGAGGGTCATTGTGTAATGTTCTGAGACATATGAGACAGAATAGAGTGCGGAGGGACTTGCGGCGTTTGGACGAGGAAGCGGCCGCACTACCTTCGTGCAAAAAAATTAAAATAAAGCCAGCCCTTTTTCTCTGGTCATGAAGCACCAATTTATAAAATGTGTGTGCCTTTCTACTGCATCTACCTAGTATTATGAAAAGAACATCTTTCCAGTAGTGATATACTTCTTTAAGTAGAATAAACTGGAAATACCCAAGTACAACACTGTACAGTTCTTGTGTAAATGTACTTAGTAAAAATTCCAGCACTGTTGGTAAGTACCAAATGCTATCCAGCTGGCGACTGATTATAAAATCATCTTTTCCCCATCACCTCCTCAATATGTTCACAAACACAGAAAAAATAACCCCTCTCATCACCGGTTGCTATAGCAACTCCAGCTCGTGCGCTGTGATGCTACAAGGCCATGGATGTCGTTGTGATATCAGGCGCTTGCAGTGAAACAACACAGCCTGTCTGTGACCAAGAGTACCGGGGACGCTTTCAAATAAAACACAAACAAAAGAAGCATTGGGAAGATGGTTGGTGGGAACAGAAAAAGAAAAAGAAACACCATTTTCAGGTAAAAATGAACAGCACGTATAATGTGCTGGACTGCAGAATGTAAACAGACCAGAATCTCCTTGTGAGGAAACACAAAGAGCTATGTGCGTACACTCTGAGGATGGACAGGAGACAAAACACACACATCACAGCCTCGGACCATGCGGCCACAGAGAGTGCGCTCCATCCACAGGCATCACAGGTTGTCCTGCGAGACACGACGAGGAACTGTCGGTAAGCCCTGCGCACGTCATCCCGGTGACAGCTGAGCCGACGTTGTGCAGTAACTACTGCTTGCTTCATTACATCACTGATATAGTCGTGACAGGAGACAAAGTGACTGACTGCAAGCGCTGAACACATCAGACATCGCTCCGTGAGCACTTTTCAACTGTTCCCGAGCACTTGGGCGTTGCTAATCTTGCCGTGTTTCACGCTTGTTACAATTCTGCCAGTCCGCTGTACATTGAAGCTCGTCTTGTGGGAAGAGAGCATTGAGAGGTGCATTTACTGCTTAAATTGCAGTGCATTATCATAAACCCCATATAAATGCCATTGTCCCATCACACGTTTACTCCCTTTGCTTCCCGAATGAGTATAGACTGTTCTGATTTATGCAACCAAACTGGAGGTTGACTAGAGTCAGTAGGCTACTTAAAGTCATATTAAGATCTGTTGAAACAGGTGAGCTTAGTAACAACTTTTGACAGAGACTGATTAAGATTCAATTGTTAGTATTTTAAGAAATAGTTCAACAAAAGCTATTTGGTTTCTTGTTTAAAGTTAGATGAAATGATTGACACCATCAGTATTGGTGATGTTCACACATCACAAAAGCTGTAGCTCAAAGTTAAGGTTCACATGGATTCAAATCAACTAGTTCACTTGAAAGTTCACAGTCCCAAAAAATGAACTACTTCAATTGTTATGTTTTGTAAAGATAAAAAATGACATGCACGTGATACGAGAGATAACGACCAAAAACGTGTGTTGATCTTCTTTTCTAACTTAAAGCAAGAAAGCAGAAGTTTAACAACTCCTTCCAACTTGGTCCCCTTTGAAAAGGATGAGTTGGATACGCTACGATGCTCACCAAGCCTGGCGAGCCCATCGTGAGCAGCTGAACGAGCACGATCCCAGTTGGAGCGTGCTGTAAATGGCCAGGATGGCAGCTTGGCTTCTCTTTGTGGTTGCAGATGGCACCCAGTGACACCGGGGTCAACGCTCTGTCTGTGCCCCGCCAAAAATACTCGTCCCGGGTGGGAGGCTCCATCTCCACCTGCCTCAGCAGATTTCAGCACATGTGGGTGAGGGGGCAGCAGTGTTTGGAGGAGGGATGCACTTCTGTCTGGAATAGAGACGGTTTTTTAAACTTTTGAGCTATTCTAAGCTTGTTAGGGACACAATTTCAAAACAAAGACTTGGCAATTTATAATGCATTTAGATCTGTTATTGGAAAACCTTAGTGTGTTTCTATATAGCATCTTTGATTTCATCCCTCCGCACATATGTGGGGCATCGTACAGCATTCTGTCACATTGAGGAAAAAAACATCTGCTCCCTGAGTATCTCAATTAATGAGCATCCACTGTTTTCTCTCCCTATCATCTATATGTTTCCCTTTATGCTTCATTTAAGATGTGTGTAGATGTGGACCCTTGAGGGGTTTGGATAAATCACAGAATGTTAGAGCATCATTTCATGTCCAAGGACAATCAGAGGCGGGCTGCAGATGCTTGAAATGACAGTTTCGGGTTGATTCACCTGAATTACAGAAAAAAACATATATTCTCACGTACAGCTTGGACTTGAGCCATGCTGATTTGGGTTATATTTGCCCAAGTTTTGAGATATCCATCACTGAGATTTATTCCACCACACCAGCACTGGCTCTAATTGATGTACTTCCTCCATGAAAATAGTAGAAAAAAGGTGTGCAACTTGTATATCCAGGGTAACATTCAGGCACCTTTTCTGGAAAGAGATGTTTCCGTTGATTTAAAAAAAAGTTTCTTCAGGCACCACCTGGTATACCATCAGATATCTGGCCATGCATCTATCTGCACATGTAGGGTTGAATAAGAAAATCTTTTTCCTTTCCCACATTTTTTCTCTTTCTGTAGTTTGGAATGAACCAACCATCAAAGCAAGTCAGAGTGATCTGGCACAACAATCTTACATAAACAGTTCTGCAAACGCGTATCTCATTATTAAATTTGCCAATCAGATAAATTAATTCTTTAAGTCCAGCCTACAGAGCAGCAGCCTCTGATTCGGCCAGCTGCTTTTTGTCAACACATGTAAACTTATTCCCCTGCCCTTCCCTGCATCTCTCCATTTTGCAGACTTGTATGCCTTTTATATACTGTACCTGTTGTTGTACTCCCTTCATTGTTGATATGATTAAGTGTAACTGTTACTGCACATAGTGAGAGAAACAACTAGGGCACTTTAACCACTCAGCCAGCCCCATGTTGAGCTGCTCTCCAGGGCTGCATTTATATCCTAGTCTATCACCTAACACAGGCTGTGGAGTGAGTCATATAGAATTGCAGGAAGCCTGTTAATGTATGGGTAAAAGGGAAATCAAGCAAACTATAATGTCCAGTTTGTGCAAACATTCACATTAAAATTCTTCTTTTTAGGTATGATTCTTGCAACTTGGGCAGATGCTATCAACAGCAGGTGTTTGTAGCCAACTATGCTATTTGCACACTGTATGTGTGTACTATTGTGTACTTTTTTCTAAACCGAACCAAGTAGTTTTAACCAAAGTGTGACTGAAAACTAAAAATCTTAAATCTGCTTTAAACCATGATGCTGGTTATGTATGTTTTTGTTTTGTTCATTACTGTTATAATGTCATCTCTCTCTGCCTTGTTTATGTTGTTATTGCTTTCATTGTTTCTATTTTTTACCATGTAAAGATCCTTTGAGTACCTTTTTAAAGCGCTATTCAAATAGAATGTATGATTATTATAAAATAAAATAAAATAAAATTACAAGTCATGTGAGAAAATAGGCTTCTCCCCATCTCCTGGGTGGAAGTTCTAAGTTTGACCCATTTCTCCACCACAACCTCCTCCCTGCATGCACTTTGTCGCTCTTTAAACGTCTCCTATTACTATCAAGAAAGCCTTTCGACTAGCTAACTATTGCTAAATTAAGTTGCACATTCAACTTGGCCGGGTGCAAATAGACACTCCGTAGTGTGAATGGAAATTTAATCCTCGTTTTACCGCACAGGTTAAAATGGTGGGGAAAGTGAGCGCGAGCGTACAGGTGCATCCTTCACCATCAGCGAGAGCCCGAGGGCTGCACGTCGCGCGCTGATTCTGCGGAGGATAAAACACAGTGGGCTAGGACTTGAACGCGCTCAGATTGTCTCTGACCCTTCTCCTGCTGTCCTGTCCTATCCGCTGTACGCTCTGGACACTGGACCTCGCCTCTCCGCCTCACCGCGCAGAGCTCGACGCGCGCAGGCACAACAGATGGTACAGTACTACTACAGGCTGCAGGAGCGCAAGAATTTGACGAAGAAGTACTTTCATTCCTCTCAACTTCACAGGGTCATTTAGTATAATAGGAGTAAGGGGGGTTCTCCGAGGACAAACTCGACTTTGACAGTCACTGGATCCTACGTTTAGAGGCGGAATTTGCTGTCAAGGTAAGTTGGGATGTTTTTTTTCTTTTTCGATCAGATTTCGGAATCAACTCAGCAACAGAATGCTGATAAAAAAGCATTAAACGCGATGACTTCAAATGCTTTCCCCCCCTAGGTTATCGATGTATCTAAGACTGTCTATAAAACGAACCATTTAAGTTTGTTACATAATATTGTGCAGAATGAAGATCAAATGGATTGATGCCTGGAGTCAATCAACCCACCATTAGATCTAATGCGTAAAACAAACAGGATATTTACACCATTAGGATGAAGACACATCTATTTTTAGATATAGATGCATTATTTTCACACACTTCATTCCAACAAAATGTTGTAAATGTAAACTAGAGACATCCCCAAAAGCATTTCTTGTAATTGAGACAAATTGACACCAGTGAGTTTTCTTTGTTTTTGTTATTGGTACTTGGCAAACTTTATAGTTGCAGCATGACTGCAAGAATGAATAGAAACATCGTAGCTCCTCAGCATCCTGAATTCCTACAGCAATAAGACTCTTTTATTTCTTATATCCCAGGAGTTTATAGCCGACAGCATTAAGTCTTCACCGGCTCCACAGGCACGCATCTGTGTAAGTGCTGATGCTGCAACTCTGTGGGGATGCTGATGCCACAAACACTTGAGCGACATTCAAACACACAACGATCATTTTCAGTGACTTATGTTGAGCCTCCCACGGGGAAAACTTTTAATGCGAAAACCCATACAGGCACCATCATGTCAAAGGTCGGTAATGTTCTCTGACATTGTGTTTTTTTCCCTTTTCTCCTGAAAAGGAGCTTTTCGGCTTTAAAACAGGGCAACCTCACTGCTCAACAGCGGCTGACGATACAAGACTTTTAAATATAAATGCAGGATATCTAATTATGACCTTAATGGGAATTGAATACCCTTCTCACCCCACTTATAATGCGTCTTTTCTATTGACAATTTCTGAGGTTAATTTCTTTTGTTATACAAAACACACGCACTGATGACCTTTTTACACGTTCAAATTAAATGTGCCATAATCAGTGTTTTGCATTCTGCAACAGCTCCAGTTCATAAGGAAGAACTCCTGCTACCACCAGCATGCAGTGAATAGATAAGGCTTTCACTGTAACAGCCTGCGAGACACTGACACTAATCTCTCTGAACTCCTGCATGCTCCCTGCCTCAGAAGAACATTAGAGAGCCGGCACTCTGACATTTAGTTCTAGGATTTAATAAGACTTAGACTGGCCTAATCGAGATTCAATCTGCCTCTTGACATTCATTATTATTAATCCACCATTTAGATCGAAATTCAGGTATGTACCTTATGTAACAACAAGCTAGCTGAGCCACAAACTCAGATTTACCCAGGGGTGGGAAAAACCCCACTAGGGGAGCATTTCTACCTTATAGGTTGATGCCAGTCATCCATATGTCACGTCTTTAAGGCAATTTAAGATGAGGGATGCACTCAGGGTAACCACTGAGCTGTATGTACAGTAATGATTTGTTCAGTCCCAGAACAGGTCCAGACCTGCGGTGGACCCGATGTGTCCCCGTGGCCTGCAGCAGCTACAAGAAATGCGCATCAGACTGCCACAGAGCCTCGCAATTTGCACACAATTTGATCCGCAGGGAGAGTCACTCGAACTATGTGTTGCATCTGCTCTCTGTGTGAGCCGCTGGCACAACAGAGAAGCCTTGAGATTGCTTTAAAAAAGGCGACTGCAGACAAAAAAATGTGCTAATACTGGTGAAATAATAGGGGTAACAGTGACGTTGCAAATTAATGGAAACAAGGAGCTCCTGTATAAAATAGCCGTGGGATCAATTTCTGAAAAGTCTGATAATTCCATGCTTTCCTCTACTGCACCAATCAATGTTGTTTTTTACTTTCTGCCTTCACTAGTCCTGTGGTTCTCTGTATGCAATGCACATTGCACTGCGCAAGTATCCTTTGTCTTTAAGATATTACACTTTTCCTCTTTCTTGCATGTGGCTTCCTTTGTGCTCGTGAAAAATGTTATGGGTGCTTTGAGAGTCCTCAGACACTAATGTTGTTGTGCAAGGGCCACGCAACTAACTTTACGCGTGCTCCTACACATTGTCATAAGTATACTATGCTGAGTACACGCACTAGATCAAAACCACACACTGAGCAGCAATATTGAGGCATAAATTGGCATATACTGCAGCGCAGATATCATGTGGAGAGCCAGAGAGATTATCCAACACCTGAGATACTACTTTTCATTTATATCCAACAAGCGGAGACTGTGGATGCAGCGATGCCATTTGTGTGCCTAACTTTAACCTGTCAGCCTGAGAGGATATGTGGAGAGCAAAGTACACATTTTGACACAGAAGCAAAGGAATTGTCACTGAGTGGAGGCACCGCTGCTGACATTGTTGGAGTGCCAGAGATGCTCCCAATGTGGCGTTTGATTATATTGTCGCCAGAGTTAGTGAAAATAAGAGTAGAGGGCCTTTGAGTATGAGTGAGGGACCTGAATTCTACAAGAGTGGGGGGAGTTTAATGACTTAAGTCAGAGACAACATCCCTCGAGTGTAACAAGATGGGACTGTCTCCTTTCATGAGAACTGTAGTGTGTGGACTGTGGGTGTAGTCTCTCGCTTTGAAGAGGGGAATCAAAAGCGTGTGGAAACTCAGCCACTGCAGAGGCTGAATGTTGTATTGACTTCATTTAACCCTTTTTGCCATATATATTTTTATATCTATATATAAATGATATATTTTTTGTATGTCTTTTCTACACTCAACAGCCAAACATAAAATAACATAACACGATACACGCTTTCTCCTTTCCAAACAGCCTGCAGATGTATTCTGCCTCATAATTGTGATGTCAAGCAAATAGGAATATGATGCCTTGAATATCGGTTCTAGCAGAGCAAACGCAACCTGTAAACTAACAAAATCGATCACGTCGACATTCAGTACTGCAGGTGTTTACAGCTACCACCATTACCTCTGATTCAGTGCTGGATATTTTGGTTGATGGGCTCCATTTGACGCTTCTCCAGTTTTACCGTCGCTGCTGTCCGTCCATCCAACCCAGGCCTCACATGACTGAAGCCACCAAGCAGAAATAAGTGATGGCACAAAGTCCGAGACTAACTGCAGCAACACATTAATAGCTGTGTGTGTGCTCTTACAGTCAGTGGATCAATATTGTGCTGTGAGTGAGGGTGAAATGAGAGGAATACTACAGTGAATAAATCCTGCAGTGATACCTGTAGCAGTCGTGTCACGCAACATCTGACGGTTGGGCTGCTAAACTCAACATGAAAGAGACGAGGCTCCCATTCGTGAGAGAGATGATGGATGCATTAAAAGTAAACACTACACATACATTAGTGGTTGGTTTGTCAACATCCTTATACGAGTTCATTCATGCATAGTGAGCGGTTCTCTGCCGGTTTCTTTTTAATCACAATGCCAGAAATGTATTAGTCGATACCAATACCAGTCAAATTCCATGATTCTCAAAACCACGGTTAAAAACAAAAAATAAATACATCTCTTGTGCTTTAATACACTCTTTTGTTTCTCGCTAAAAGATACAACTTACAAGATTACATTTGAACACATCATGATAACTTAATAATTACACTTCGTCCGAAACACATATTTATTGATTAGAGTTTGAATGCATCATGATGGAACCCAAATTAACCTCTGTTACATTAGCAGTTAGCTCCGTTATATAGCAGAGAATGACTGGTCAGCTGCTAACAGCTAACGTTATTAGCTGTCCGCCTACCAAATTCTACACGGATCTTTTTGTTCACAATGTAGCACAAGCAGGGACATTTTCTATCGTTTCCGGGAATACGGGACGACATTGCATTCAAATGGAATTATGCAAATGCATCATCATGTTAAGATAAAGCTGCATTTTATAGCTACATTTGTAACTTCAAAATACATGAAATACTTTTATTTCATGTATTTTTTGTCATAGGTGTTTCGTTGCACCGTCCTGCCATTCCGCAGGGTTTGTTTGTTTGTTTTTCCCGTTGTCCGTCTGCCTGATTCAGTGCGTGAGTGCAGCGTCCTGGAGCTCAGCTCACTGTAGAAAAACGTGTCACGACTTGGTACCAAAGTGTCGAACATTCAGTTGCGCAATGCTAAAAGCAGCTAATGGCAGCTGGCAGCCTCGAGCTCCATTAGCCTCAAGCAGAGATGAGGAGCGTGCTGCAGAGGTCTGGTAAGCTAAACTTCTTTCTTACTCCACATCCCCAGGTTGTTGTCAGTTTCAAACTTGTAACTGACTCACGTGACATTGCTAATTTATAATTACGTTTTGCAGTGCCCCCTGCAGCCACAAAAGGCTTTATACGACTCTTTTCACATATGTAGTAGTACTCTAACTTTAATGTGTACAATTGGTTCCTTTTTAAAGACCTCAAACACCTTCTCACAATCGGAATCAGAACCGTTTAATTGCCAAAGTATGTTGCACATACAAGGAATTTGACTAGGTGGATGGTGCATAAAATTAAATAATCAACACAATGCAAAATACAAGACATGATTTAAAAATAGAAACATATTGAAATTTACAATAAAATATGGTAAATAAACAAACAAATTGTGTCAGTGAACATCCTCTACCGGAGAGCCAGCGGTTGAATCAGTCTCTGTTCTGGCTCCTTGCTTCTTGTCGCAGGCATCTGGGAACAAGTCGCTGACACCGACTCTGTCATCAGTCAGGGTTGTACGACACGAGTTATGTTTTAATGACACGTGGCGCTGCCTGTACCGTTTAAGAGAAGGCAACAATTAGTGTCAATTAAAAAAATTAATCAAGTCAAAGTCATCAATCATGATTAAGAGAGTGGAAACGTCCACTAAAAAAAGAAAAAAATCAAACAGGAGAGTTTTCTGGCCTCAAACCTCATCTTTAGTTGGCGCCATGCAGCTTCAAAGAGCCACCCTGCCGAGCATCCACAAATGCAACATTTGAAGGGGAATTTTAAATGGA